CATTGCTGAAGGAACACCACTGTTACCTGAGGAGAAGAAACCTCTGGCTGTTTTCCACCACAAGGAATACAGGAGATGCCTTTGTTTTAGGACGAATGCTAAATATACATGCAGGAGTTTGGAAGACTGAATCGCTCCTTCTACTCAGTTTAAATTACATGGCTCTGAAAATGTCCTTCTTTGCCAAATCAAGAGCAATGCTTGATTTGCAGCATATGTTTCATGTCTTTGAAAAAATACTGCAATCTGTTTTCCAAATTATTCATTAGGAAACAAAGTCAAGGACTGTCTGACTCGTGATGTAGCAATGACATCATCATTTCATGTAACAGCTCATGGAGAGACTGATGCACACATTGCTTGCCCAGTGGGAACTGAAGGTCTTTGTAAATAATGCATGAGAGAAGCTTACAGTCCCAGACAGAAGTGTTGGTAAATTCAGATGCCCTGGAACCAGATCCAGCCATGCAGAAGTCATTGGTTTACTTATACAGGGTTTTTTCTTGTTTTACATGTAAATCAGGACTTAAAATTTGGGGCATTTTGCATGCATACCCGGGTTTCTTGCCTCTGTTGAACACATGGAGGGCTGCAGCTCTGCAGGACGTCTGTAGACTGGAGCCAAGTGGTGCTGCCTCCATTAGCTCAGTCTTACTGAGGCTACTTACTCCCTTCCTCGTCTTCATCTTGACCCCTTGATACTGAGGCCAGGGCCCACTGCCATTTATCTTGATCTTTGCACTATTTTTTATTGTTATAGTAGAGAAACATTTCTCTCCCACACAGGAGAGAAAATAAAGCAGGCCCTTTTCCTGACCCTTTCTCTGCTTCACTTCCTTTCATTACCTGCCTGGCTCCCTCGCACAGCTCTGGTTGTTAGTATGGTTAGCCTGTGTTGAGTGTGATATGGTAAAGAGAGCTTTAAGCCAGTTGACTTGGAAAAGAAATTGTTTCAGTTCTTTCCTAAAGGACAGGTTAAACAACTGAAAGCTGTTCTATCAATCAAGTGTAGATGCTGTTTGGCAAGGACTTGAATGGTGGTTTTGCACCTGGAGAGGGCTATGGAGGAGAGCCTAGGGGAAGGCTGGACCTCCACAGTGGGCAGGGTAGGGAGGGAAAGTCATCACTCACGTACAAGGGAGGGGAAATGCTCCACACCCAAAGGATAGCTCTCCCCCACCGCCAGTTGTAGGAATCCTAAGTGATACACTTACTTCTTTCCCATAGAAGGAAGCCTGCCGATCTGCATCCCTACTCATTTTTTCCTTCCTTTCCCCCTCTTCTCATTTCTTACACAGAGCTGTGGGCAGCCTTGCCTTTTAAGGGAGAGAGCTCCTGGGAAACACTCTTATATAATGGCAAGATGCACAGCTACTTCTGTTCCATATTCTAGTCTTCCCTTTATAAAGATGAAGCTGTAATAGAACATCAGAAGAATTGTAAGGAAGAATGAGTGCATGAAAGAGAAGGATCACAATAAGCAAAACAAACAGTGGAACCCAAGAGAGAGAGCATGTCAGAAGTGAAAGATGTCAAAAGTAAAACTGTTAGTATTTTCAGAGAGACTCAAGAGATGATGGTATCTGTAAGACAACACTCGGCTGCTATAAAAATGTGCAACTAGAGAACATAACTAAAATAAAAGGGGAAAGGGCAAATGAACACAGGCGAGGACTTAATTAGTAATGTGGAAGAGCAACTCAAGGAATTCCTCCAGATACAGACAAAAAAAGAGAGAGAAATGAACAGATCGGATGCTGGAGCCAAAGTAGCCAATGTCTATCCTATAGTGATTTCAACAGAGAAAAAAAGCAGACAGAATGTTTGGGGAGAGGGGTGATGGTATGGATAATTGAATGAAATTAAATAGGGATTTCAGAAGAGAGTAGACAGAAGTAATGGCAGAGAAAGAAGTAAGAGAAGAAATAGAATATACTTTATCCAAGCTGCAGGAAGACTTGATTTTTCAAAATAAAAGTGTACCTTCACTGGAAAAAACATAAATTAGGGTCACATTCCTAAACCTGTCCTTGGTGAAATTTCATAACTCCAGTGTGGAAAATAAAGTCTTAAACATTTCTAGAGGGGAAACAAAAGCAGATTATCTACAAAAAGATAAGAATAATGTTTCCCAAAGACAATAGAATAGCATCTTAAAATTTTTGAAATATTTTGAACCTAGAACTCTGTAAAAAATCTAAAGTATTACTCAAACTTGAGATAAAATGAAGACATTTTATACTCATTATTTCGTGAACTTTATGCATTTTTGTGTGTTTGTGTCTATAGTACTCATATCTATACATTGAAAATGCACTGCTCAAAAATATTCATTCTAGTAAAATAAAAAAAAATCCAGTGAGGAGGATAGTATGGACACAAGAAACAACTGTAAGGAAATAAGCCAGTAAACACTATTGTCTGGTATAACTATTGAAATTGTGTCCCTGAAGCTTAATGTAATTGTTAAGAAGGATTTCCTTGTGCGGTTGTGTGGGTGCAGTCTGTTGAAATCTTTGCTTAGTATATACTAAGTTGATCTTCTGTATATAAAGATAATTGAAAATGAATCTTGATGAAGAGTGGGATGGGAGAGGGATGGGAGATGGGAGGGCTGTGAGTGGGAGGGAAGTTATGGGGGAAAAAGCCACAGCAATGCAAAAGTTGTACTTTGTAAATTTACATTTATTAAATAAAAAAGGTAAAAAAATTGAAAGGAAAACAAGAAGTCTAAGACTAATGATACTGCAGGTTATTTTAACCAGATGTGGTGGGATCATGGTGGGAAGGGAATCTTGTTTGGAAACAGTAAATTAAAGATACTGATTAATTTTCAATGTGGTTAGAAGACTTGTTTAATCATGTGTGTATGTTTTAAATACAAGGGCATCCAATAGGAGAATATAGTTAGTGTATACAAAATGTAAAAAAGTAACAAAGAATTTTTGATCAATCTACATAAAGACAAGAAAGCTGAGAAAGGAAAAAGTTTAACAAACAGGAAACAAAAAAGAGGAAGGTAAAAAGGCCATAGTAGATACCATTACACTAAATGAGATTAAGTTACAGTCTTCCATTAAAGATAGAGGTGGTCTAGATGGATTTAGAATAATAATATAAACTAAATGAGTGTATGCCATTTGTAAGACATACCATAAAGGAGCAAGTGAAACACAATTTTGAAATAGAAGTCCTTACAAAAATTATTACAGGGGTCGGTGCTGTGGTGTAGCTTGTAAAGCCACTGCCTGCAGTGCTGGCATCTCATATGGGCACTGATTTGAGTCCTGGCTGTTCCACTTTCCATCCAGCTCTCTGCTATGGCCTGGGAAAGCAGTAGAAGATGACCAAGTCCTTGGGGCCATGCACCTATGTGGGCAACCCAAAAGAAGCTCCTGGCTCCTGGTTTCGGATTGGCGCAGCTCCGGCTGTTGCGGCCAATTGGGGAGTGAACCAAAGGATGGAAAACCTATCTCTGCCTCTCTGTAACTCTGTCTTTCAAATACATAAATAAATCTTTAAAAATTATTACAGATTCATACCAAAAGAAAGCCAAAATATTAATCTAATGTGAAGCAAGATGAAATTTAAGGAAAAAGAATAAAATAAGACACAGAGTAATATTTTAACTGATTACTAATAAAATCTATCATGAAAGCATGTGACTATGCAACTTTGTTCACCAAATAAAAACATTGGAATGTATAAAATTAAATGTATTGGAATTACAAGAAGAAATTAACCAAAAGTTATTTAGAAGACAGACATACATACTTTACTCTGAGGCCACAGAACTGCGTGAGTTCTTTTGCCAATTCCATTTAATCACCACTTATCTTCATGTTAGCATTCTTCTGCCACTCCTTTCCTGGACTCCCTCCAGATGATTTATTAAAATACACATGTTGGGGCCGTGTGTGTGTGTGTGTGTGTGCGCGCGTGTGTGTGTTTGCAAGCCATCAATTTTGCTGCATTAAAGAATCCCTTGGTTTGAAGCAGATAAGGTTATCTTGCTGGCGTGCTAATGAGAGGATTATTTGCATGTTGTTTCTCTGAAGGCATTGATCTTTCCTCATGCAAATGAAACATTTAATCCTTGAATATGACTCTTGATGAACATCTATAAGTCATTTCAGTCCAGGATATGCCACTTGCCATTCTAAGTTCTGGTTCCAGCTGCCACTAACTGTCTGCATCTAAGCAGATCACTTAATTTCTCTGGGACTCTGTGAAGTTGCTTTAAGGACGTGGGACTAGAATCGGTTATGTCAGTTCCTTTCCTCGTCTAAAGGATTGTTTTTCTATTGCATGGTTCTTACTTGTTGTTTTTTAAAATTATTTATTTATTTATTTATTAAATTATTTATTTGCTTATTTGAGAGACAGAGACCCCTCACACATAGAAGTTTCCCCCAGCACACACACACACACACACACACACAGAGATCTCACTTGCTGGTTCCCTCCCCAGAACTGGGACCGGCAGAAGCCAGGAGCTGGGAACTGAATCCAGGTTTCCCACGTGTGTAGCAGAGACCCAACTACTTTGAGCCATCACTGCTGCCCTCCATGGTGTGTGTTAGCAGGAAGCTGGAGTTAGGACCTGGAGTTGGGAATTGAATGCAGGTACTGCAATGAGGAATGAGGGCGTCCTAATTGGCAGTTCAACAGCTAAGGCAAACACCTGCCCCTACTCATGTGTTTATCTCTCTTTTTCCTAAAACCCAATATCTACAGAAACATTTCTGTAGCCTATTTTATGGAATATGAACATTGACTTTCTATCCTTTTACATCTGCCAGCTCTTGGGAAGAAAAAAAATAGCAGAATGTTTGAGGGGGTGGCAGTTGGGGCAGGTGCCTGCAGAGGTGGATATTGCCGGTAAGTTCTCAGGATCAAGTGGCAGACTCTTTGTCTTTAGGAATCAAGAAGTCTGAGTCTGGGGTTGACGCTAAGCAATCAGGTGTCTCCATCTCTTCACGAATGTGCCTCTCCCTTAGCTGCCTTGCAGGCCCTAAAGAGAAAGAAGAGGTTTGAGAAGCAGCTCACTCAGATTGATGGCACGCTCTCCACCATCGAATTCCAGAGAGAAGCCTTGGAAAACTCACACACCAACACCGAGGTGTTAAGGAACATGGGCTTTGCAGCAAGAGCAATGAAAGCGGCCCACGAAAACATGTGAGTGACTTTGGTCTCCCTCTGACTCATAAATTCCCTCAGTGATGGGGGGAGTCTTTGGAATTATTGATGATTTTGGTAAAAATGGGCATATTCATTTGAGACTCTTGATATATTGAACACGACACTCTCTCAGAGAATGAGTTTTTTTAATTCATGAAAAGAGAAGAGCATTAATATTTGCCATTAATGTTGCTCAGTTCTTTTACTTTTGCCTGAAACTCTCCCTATAAATACTTTAATTCTATAATTTTAAACACTTCGATGGAAACTTCTGTTAGGGTTCTGAAACTGTTCAACAGTGGTTGTCCAAATTTGATGAGAATTTGCAGACATCCAGATTCTTTGAACTTGGAGAGGGTTTGGGTTTTTATTTAGTTTCAATTTAACTTCTTTATGAAAGAGAGATAGATATAGGGGGAGAGAAAGAGAGAGAGAGAGAGAGAGAGAGAGAGAGAGGACACTCCCATGCAATAGTTCACTCCCCAAATGCCTGCAACTGGGGCTGGGCCTGGGCTGGTGCTGTGTCAGGGCTGGGGGCCAGGAGCTGGGAACTCAATCTAGGTCTTCCATGTGGGAGGCAGAAACCCAATTACTTGAGCCATCACCACTGCCTCCCAGGATTTGCATTAGCAGGGAACTAGAATCAGGAGTCAGAGCCAGGAACGGAACCCAAGTACTCCAATGTGGGATTTGAGCATCTTAACTGCTAGGCTAAATACCCACTCCTGTATGTCTCTCTCTCTCTCTCTCTCTTTTTTAAAGATTTATTTTATTTTACTTGAGAGTCAGAGTTACACAGAGAGAGGAGAGGCAGAGAGAGAGAGAGAGAGAGAGAGAGGTCTTCCATCTGCTGGTTCACTCCCCAGTGGGCCACAATGGCAGGAGCCAGGAGCCAAGAGTTTCTCGGGGTCTCCCACGCAGGTGCAGGGGCCAAGGACTTTGGCCATCTTTTACTGCTTTCCCAGGCCATAGCAGAGAGCTGGATGGGAAGTGGAGCAGCCGGAACTCGAACTGGCGCCCATATGGGATGCCAGCACTGCAGTCGGTGGCTTTACTTGCTAAGCCACAACGCCGGCCCCTTTCTCTTTGTTTTTAATGAGGTTCTCTAAAGTGATTCTGATACTACATAATGCTGAGAGCCACTGGCATAGAATAATAGTAATGAGCATAGATTTGCAGGTCAAATTTTCTGGATTATAATCCCAGTTTCAGTGTGACTATCCCTTGTGCCAGTTATTTTGCCTCCTCCTAATTCATTTTTCCTTATCTGCGAATTAGAGATCATCCTAGTAGCACCTTCTTCATAAGGTTATTGTAAGAGTTAGTGAGATACCAGACAAAATACACTTCACATAGTTCCTGGCACAAAGTAAGCACTCAATAATCAATATTTACAGTGGTAGTAGAGCAAGTGAAAATTTGCTTTATAGTCACACTGGAACATAAGTGCCGGAGACATGATCCTTTCCTGGCACTCAGCACGATCGTGAAACCTGGGCAGGGGATGTGCAAGAGCAGTGGATGTCCAGGGATGTAGACCGATTGCCGCAGGATGGGGAAAGATGGAAAACAGGGAGGCTGGTGGCAGCGAAGACAGCTCGGCTCGCATTTCCTTGCCTTGGTAATTTATTAACAATCAAATGTCATTTTGCCAGCTTCAGAGAGATCATTCAGTTTGTTATCACAGTCAAAATCCTCTGAGGTTGCTGTAACTGGGATGCTAGAGTGTATTACAAAACCAGCTTTCTCCCCAGGTAGCTTAGCAGCATCATACTATTCTAGTCCTTTTGAGAAAAATTCACCCCCAGGCCCAAGTTTTAGCTATACATTTTTCATACTCCTTTTTATAAATTTATTCTTTGTACATTTATTATAAATAAAATAAGAAGAATTAGAAGTGAATAGTGAGTGATAGGAAGGTGGTAAAAGTATTCTTTTTGATTAGCACATAAAATATGTCAGAAATGCTCAACTTTTATAGTATATAAAGACAGAGAAACTAAAAAATAAAAAAGATCAATTCCAGTAGGAATCAAACTTCCAGTGTTTAAAAAGGTTACTTAGTAACGAGGGATATTGTAACTTCTCTGTGTTCCATCAGTGTGGCCTGATTTCAGAGTTGGAGGAACAATGGGAGACAGGATCCTCTAGAAACAGTCCTGAATCCAGCATTCGGACACTGCTGGCTTATGCTGACGGTTAGGGCACAGTGGGGCCCATGGAAACTGGCTTTGAAGATCCCTCTCTCTTGAGCCTATGGGGTGGTTTCTTGGATTCCTTTGTTGCAGTTGCAGATGCCATTGGTCCAGTTCTGCTCTTTAGTAACCTCCCAGGGCATCGTGGTGATGTGGGGAAAACCCTCAGTGAGTCAGGATCTCAGAGCTGTCAGATGTTACAGGAAATGGATCTCGAGTGTCAGAGTTTGGCTTATACAAAGGCTGCTGTCAGAACAGCTCCTGAGAGCCGCCTTCATTTGTCTTAGCACTGGTGGTCCTGGGTGCTCCCTGGCAATGTTTCCTGCAGAACTGATATGCAGCAGCACACATTTGAGTTTTTCCTGTGTTCTATCAGTCAGGATTTCAAAATGGGTCTACAAGTATTGCTAGCTTAAAAATAATTTAATTTCAAAAAATTCAATTTCTAGTGACTCCCAAATGTAGTGGTTATTTAATATCTAAAATATGTGCATATACAGGATTATGAAGGATATTTTTGGAAATGCAAATTATTTTTGAAGTTGGAAAATATTATTATGAGGAATCCTTATCCTACTGAAATAACTAAGAATGCAAATTGACTTATTTTTCATACAGGAATGTATTTAAATTTGTAATTGTAAGCCCAAATTCTAAAAAAGAAAGAGAGAGAGAAAGAGAAGGGAGGGAGGAAGGGAGATATCAGTATTTTCTTAGACTTGTTTCTGTGAACTACATTGAATCTGTTCTCTTTGTATTAATACCACATTAACATGAGAATTATGAGAAAAAATAAATAAATAAAATATTCTAACAAAATATTATTTCCCAGGGATCTGAACAAAATAGATGATTTGATGCAAGAGATCACAGAGCAACAAGATATCGCCCACGAGATCTCTGAAGCATTTTCTCAACGGGTCGGATTTGTTGATGGTTTTGATGAGGTGAGTAAGACAGTATAAAGAAAGCAGTATTGTGGGTGCTTTAAGGGACGCGCCCTACTGTATAGCAGGCAGATTTCTTTACTACTTGAAGAGTTGATGGTATTTGTTAGAAATATACTTCCTTTTAGAGGGAAATGAAGTGTAAGTAGCTCTGATTTAAAGGAAAGATTAATATAGCTTGGCAAACAACCTGCTAATTAAGTTTTCAGCTATTAAGGAAAAAACAGCATGTGATTATGTGAAGTTAGTGACTTTTAATGTTTGAAGCCTAAATAGCCCCATTACGGAGAATCGCGTGCTCACACATCTGGGCAAAACAAAGCAGACTGTGTCACTCTGCAAGGAACAGACGTATTATGCTCCGTAGCTGTTAAATTAGAGGTTGGGCTGCCTCTGTTTATTACTCAGGCTATGAAACAAAATAAATGTGGAGTGGCATTATTAACACACACATTCCATTTAGATTAATCACTCTGATAATACACACAGTCTATAATTATAATGGTGGTGTCTGCACTGCGAATTTCAATTGTTCTACATAAAGCACACACAAGTGGAGCTAGTACGTATTTAGCAACTTTTTCAAGTCTGAGATTAGCATGGCAAAGAATTCAACTTCCTGCATCTATGCAATGTTAAAAATGAAACATCTAACATGTAAGAGATTGTTTCATGGAACCCTAGAAACCAAGGATTGGGTGTCAACAACATTTAAACATGGTGTAGACCAGGGGTTGACAAAATATGGCTCACAGGCCAAATCCTCCCCATAGCCTGTTTTTAAATGGCCAGTGAGCTGAGGATGGTTTTTACAATTCTTAGAGTGTTATAGATTACAGTCTTTTAAATTTTTTTTGTTTAACTCTTTATTTAGAAGAGCCATTAAGCCTTTTACTATAACATTCATGAAAAATGTTTACACAGATAATAAAAAAAAATTAGGTTTAAAAACGTATTGAGACCGGCGCCGAAGCTCACTAGGCTAATCCTCTGCCTGTGGCGCTGGCACCCTGGGTTCTAGTCCTGGTTGGGGCGCCGGGTACCAGTCCCGGTTGCTCCTCTTCCAGTCCAGCTCTCTGCTGTAGCCTGGGAAGGCAGTGGAGGATGGCCCAAGTGCTTGGGCCCTGCACCTGCATGGGAGATCAGGAGAAGCACCTGGCTCCTGGCTCCTGGCTTCGGATCAGCGCAGTGCCGGCTGTAGCTGCCATTTTGGGGGTGAACCAATGGAAGGAAGACCTCTCTCTCTCTCTGTCTCTCTCTCTCACTGTCTAACTCTGCCTGTCAGAAAAAAAAAAAAAAGTATTGAAGAAAACATTAACAAAGAAGGCCATGTGACAGAGGAAGGTATGTGGCTTGCAAAGCCTGAAGTCTTACCCTCTGGCCCTTGACAGATAGTTTTCCAAGCTTGGTGAACAGCAACCAGCATGTAACAAGTGCACTGTGATATGATGGGAAGGGCTCTGGGCTTGTGAGGATAACTGAGTTCTACCATTTATTAGAAACTGTGTAAATCCCTTTACTTTTCTGACCCTTTATTTTCTCATCTGTAGAATCAAGATAATTGGGTTGGTTAGTAGATTATCTAAAATTTCTTAAACTCTGAAGCTTCTTTTTTTTTTAACTTTTATTTAATGAATATAAATTTCCAAAGTACGACTTATGGATTACAACGGCTTCCCCCCCATACCATCCCTCCCACCCACAACCCTCCCCTTTCTGAAGCTTCTTTATCAATGATCAGATAAGAATTTGGTACCAAAAGATTAAAAATAATGGAGGAGCTTTTTACTGTGCTGTCACATTTGCTAAAGAAAATCCCAATATCTTTCTGATGCTGCTGATAACCCCTAAGCACCGTTGACAGTTTTGAGCACACATTTGGCATAGGAGAGCTTGTTCTACCTTTACCACATTTACTATATTTGTTGCTAATTGTCTTGGGAGCGGAAAGAGATCATCTGTATGTTCACTGTGATATTATTTTATTTGTGTAACCTGCGGCGAAGCATAGCGCACACAATGGCTCTGTCCATGCTATTTCACATAGCCTGCTGCTGTAAGTCTGCATATTTTGTTTCCTTTCTGTGTGGTAGATTTAACAGAGGTCAGACAAGCTTTCAGCTTACTGCGAATTTGACACTGACTCCATCAAGTGTTATATTTGGCACAAGGATTTCCACTCTTACATCATAATATTATTACTACAGGATACTTATTTATGTGCCTTTCTCCCCACCTAAGTGTTAGCAGGATACAGAGTATTGATTCAATTTTGCCCCCCAATTGCTGAGTTCAGAAGGTTTGCAGGTGTGAGTTCTCCATAAATCTGCTGAATGAATGAGTAAATGAAGACTCTACTTGGTTGAATGACGGGTGTCCCAGGTCATTGCTAACTGTGACGACCTTAGAATTCCGATGAAGACAAATATAGTTTTGGTTCCCAACCTCCTTCCAAGAGGGCTGGAGCCCAGCTGGGAACTGACGGGGCCGGTTAGATCTGAACTGCCTGAGGTCTTCTCAGAGCCGGCAGAACGTGACTTAACTCCCTTAAGCCCTCAAACTAATCTTCCCTCTCCTCAGTGCTTGAGACAGAGAACAGTTCAAGATTAAAGCAGACTCCCCGAGACTATTGTTAAAAGACAGAAATGCAGCACGCCTGTCCCGAATGGCAGTTTCTGAGCCTGGACACACAGTGTGATTTACATCGGCTTTGACGATTCGACAAAGGAACCACATATTCTTGGATCCTTTTTTACTTTCTGTGCATTATGATTTTGCTCTACTTATAGCATTAGACAAAATAAAAATATTTATTTCTCCTAATTAAAGTTTCACAGATCCTCAATAGGAGGAAAGAAAAGGACATATGGGAAGAATGAGAGGCAAGGTGCATTTCCCAGAAACTGCAAAGATTATATATTCAGCTAGCACAAATTATTTGACTAGCTGTTTACTGAAGTATTATAAGATTAACTACAACAAATCTGCACAACCCCAAATACTCATTTTGTAATCATTGCTCAATGTTGCAAAAAAAAAAAAAAGACTTAGTTTTAAAATAAATATTCCATTTCACTGGGTTCTCACATATCAATTGGGTAGCACATGTTCTTGTTATTGTGTTTGAGGAAACCCACGTCTTGAAATGTTAACTCCATAATGCTTCCTTTCTCCTGTATTCAGGATGAACTGTTGGCAGAACTTGAAGAATTGGAGCAGGAGGAATTAAATAAGAAGATGACAAATATCCGACTTCCAAATGTGCCTTCCTCTTCTCTTCCGGCACAACCAGAAAGAAAGGCCAGCAGGGTTCCCGCTGCACATCGATCCCGAGCAGGTTCGTTGCTCAGCTCAGCCACCTGCGGCTGGACAGTTCCCTACACTGATAGCCAGGCCCATCCTCTGCAGCACTCAGTTTTGATTTCAGAAGCAAACCCATTTTTTGCAAGTAGTTCATACCCGTTTTCTATACTGAAAGTGTGAATGTCACCAGTTACTAATTTTGCTTCCCTTCTTCGTTCCAGCTTCTTCCAGGAGGACAGGAGAAGAAGATGATGATATCAAACAGTTGGCAGCTTGGGCTACTTAATCGAAAATGGAGTTTTTTGACACCTGAATTCATGAGCTGTACATAAGACATGAAAACATGCTTTTTTTCAAGTTCAGAAATTAACAAAGACCCTGTCTTTATTTAATACTGGATGAATGCTTGTCTTTGAAGCCTCATAAGTCAATGTTAAAAAAGGAGTTGTATGCAGACATAGATTCAAGGATGGAAAAGGGCCTCCTGGCGGCGTCTTGGTGTGCGTGGTTGTCCACCTAACTGTTCTGACACCCTGGGTCCCTGAATCCTGATGATATATATGTCTGTCCATCCTGAGTCCCTCCATACTGATGGGGCAGGGGCATGGCTGTCTACCTTGTCTGCTACTCTGTTTCTGGTTCTGGTACATAGTTGGTGCCCTGTGGTTCTGTTAAAAGAAAACTAAATTCTCCTGCCATATAAGATGTAAAACAGTGTATAAGCCACTTAAGAGTGATTAGGATAGCTGGGGGAAATACCTCTTTTTTCCATGTGAATGGGAGTTTGCTTGTATGTATGCATGTTAGTCTGTACACATATCCATGTAGTCCATGGTAAATGTAAATAAACTGTGTTCCTCTTAGGAGAAGTCTCCTATGAGTCTATCCATACATAGTTTCACTTAAAAGAGCTTTAATTGACATTTATTATGTCAATTAAGCTTGGAATGGGGCAATGGATGCATTTCCCCAAATGTCTAAAAGCACTAACAGCTTTCACTGCTGAGTGAGAATCTCCTGGGTGTAATTTAGCCACTTAGGGAGCTGCATTAACACTCCCAGGCCATTATGAGGCTGTTAAGGCTTCAGCGTACTGCGTGTGTGAGTGTTCATTCTTTTCTGTTTTGTTCTTTCTTGTACATTTGCTTCCACTTTACAGCCCATTCCTTGTAAATACATCAAAATATTGGCAATTAAAAGTGTATCTTGAATCAAATTTTGGCCATCATTATTTTAAAATGAATATAAATTTCAAAATTAGTGCATTGCCTATAATATATCATGGGCCATAAAATGACAAATACCATATAAAATGTTCCAGTAGTCCCTGCCTTTGCTAAGCAGCATAGTGGAATGGAAAGAGCAATAGACCTGAAAGTAGGAGTCTGAATTTCAGCCCCTGCTCTGCCATTCACACATGCCATGAACTCTTTGAGCCTTTTTTTCTCCATTGGGGAAATCTTAAGATTGGACTTGATGATCCCTATTGGTTCCATCTTGCCACAGGCCTTTTGCATGTGCTGTTGTAACCTGCAGATCATAGATATCAAACCTACTTAGTGTTTAAATCTTAGTTGCTGTCTCCCTTGTTTTGGGGAACTTTTCTTGATTGCCTGGACTCTAATGTTCTCCCTATTTTGTGTTTCATGACTTGCTGCTTTGTCTCATCACTTGTGATTTATAGCATGTTTACTCGAATGACTACTTAACAACGTTCTTCCTGCGGGGCTGTGGTAGTTTTCATATGCAGGGAAATATTTATTATTAAATGAGTGGCACTCATGTTTTTATGTTATGGGCTAAATGGAATTAGAGGCACAGAATTTACCTTCTATTCTTAAGCAATTAGAAAACTGGACAAAATTCACCAAACAAGTTTTCAGTCATTGGACACCAAGTGGCACTGGGCAGTGGTTCCTGAGAGAAGGGAAAGTAATGATGTGGGCACTTCCTGTGCCCTTGCTCATGACCTTCACAGGAACCTTGGAACAGGAACCCAAACCGAGCCTGATGGTCGTGCTGAGTTGAGAAAAGTTGTGGAGAAGAAACTTGGAAAACAGGCTGCTGGAAGAGAGAGAGAGAGAGAGGGAGAGATGGAAAATGAACTGTGTTCTAAATGTTTGTAAGCTCCCCCCCCCATAGGTATTTTGAAACACTAACCCTGAAAGTGGGGGCATTAAAAGGCAGTGATCTTTTGGGAGGTGATCAGGTCCTGAGGGCAGAAGCTTCATGAATGGGATTGGTGCCCTTATAAAGGAGGCCTTAGGGAGCCCATTCATAACCATCTCTTGTGTGAGGACACAGAAGATATGTAAACCAGGCATTCGATTCTGCTGGTGCCTTGATTTCCTACTTCATCGTTTCCAGAACTGTGAGAAATAAATTTCTGTTGTTTATGAAGCACTCAATTTATAGGGTTCTGTTAAAGCAGCCTGAAAGGGCAGATGGGACTCTTCAAATCATTGGCTGAGAACTGATTTGTAAACATTTGAGGAAACTACCAAGGCCAGGAATGACCACTGGGAAGATCAATCCCCCAAGCTCACACAGGGTCAGGAATAGGCGGGGAACCCCTGGCCAGGGCAGAAAGACTTCCTCTTCCAGGGAGCATCAGGGAGCCTGTGGAAGCACAGAGCCTCAGCGGTGCTGGCTGCTCTGGGCCAACCCTAAAATGGCTAAAAGAAAATCTCAAAAGGACCAAATATTTCCAGGAATGTATGTCCCAGAACAAAGCCCCCTAAACATTGACAAGAATACAAAAAGAAATAACAAAACAATTAAAACAAAATCCTAGCTCCCAATAGCATGAGATTCATGGAGTCCAGCATTCGATCAAAATATTTCAGGCTTGCAAAGAATGAGGAAAATGTAATCTGTAGCCAAGAGAAAAACCATAATGAAGAGACTCAGAAGACAAGAGTGTGAAAAAAGCTTTTATATTTACTCTCTATGTGCCCTGAAACAGATAAATATATTTTGGGTTACAAGAAACAAGAGGAAAACATGACTGTAATGAAGATAAAAGTGGAAGAGATTTTCAAAAAGACTCAAATTGAAATTTTCTTTAAGGATTTATTTATTCATTTATTTGAAAGAGTTACACAGAGAGAGGAAGAGAAAGAGAGAGAGAGAGAGAGAGAGAGAGAGAGATCTTCCATCTGCTGGTTCACTCCCCACATGGCTACAATGGCTAGGACTGGGCCATTCTGGAACCAGGAGCCAGGAGCTTCTTCCAGGTCTCCCATGTGGGTGGCAAGAACCTAAGCCAATCTTCCCAATCTTCCCAAGCACACTAGTAGGGAGCTAGATCGGAAGTGGAGCATCCAGGAAATGAATCAGTGTCCAATGTGGGATGCTGGCATTGCAGGTGGAAGTTTTACCTGCTTCACCACAACACCAGTCCCTCAGGTTCTAAAGATGAAAACCACATTACCTGAAAAGAACATTACATAATATGGTAGATGATATTAATAGCAGACTCGAACCTCAAGAAGAAAACCTTAGTGAACTTGAAGAGACACTATCCAAAAGAGAGCACAGAGAAAAACAAAAGGCCAAAAAGAAGAGAAAGATAGAAAAAGAGAACAAGATTTATCTGTGGGACCATATTTACCCACTAACAGGATAACTGGAGTTCTGGAGTGGTGAGTGGCCTGGTTAGCCTGGTGAAGAGAGAAGGATAGAAAAAACATCTTTGAGGAAATGATGGCCAAAATTTTCCAAATTTGATGAAAACTATAAACTCACATTTCAATGAAACTCAGCATAACTGTCTTAGCCCACTGTTGCTATAATGAAATACTCAAGAATAGACAATTTACAAGGAGTCAATGTTTAATCGGCCTATGGTTCTCGAGCCTGGGAAATCCAAGACAGGGGGCCAGCATCTGCTGCCAGCCTTGTGCTCACAGTCATAATACAGCAGGGGGCACCACGTGATAAGACACAGCAAGCTGCCAGCACGGGCTTTCTTATGAAGCTACTGATGTCATTACCGTGGCCCTACTGTCATGATGTCATCTCATCCAAATGACCTCCCGAAGGCCCCACATCCAAGTACCATTAGCATACAGATCTGAAAGATCCTGAACACATTCAAACCATAAGAATACCTCCAGCAAAATCCTTGTATTTTTCAATAACAAAGTTACCGTGGAATGTTGAAATGTGAGAGATGCTTGTGGGGTCTAAAGAAGAGCAATTAACCAGAAGAAATGAGTGATGAGGAATTGAATTTTCAATTCCATTTAATTTTGCATACTTAACTTTGACAGAAATGATACTTGAATCATTTTTTTAGAAAACTTTACATTTGGAAATTGGCAATATAAATTCATATTTTCAACTGTAAAATTTACGAAATATATATAAACAAAATCTAATGGATTTCTAATTTTTAATTTCTAAAATTTCTAATGGAAATTTTCATCTGGTTTGAGATGCTATCAGTGTAAATTATGCATTGCATTTGACAGATTTAATATATAAAATAAATAAAATATATATTCAATATATATTCAAATAAATAAAATATATATTCAAGATATAAAATACCTTGAATAATTTTTCAATGATTGTATGTTGAAATATTTTAGATGTATTGGACTAAATAAAACATCATTAAAATTCATTTCACCTGTTCCTTTTTATTTTTTAGATATGTGGTTACTGGGAAATTTAAAATTACCAATATGCCTCATTATATTTCTATTGGTTAATGTGGGCCAGGCTCAACTCCTCCCTATCAGTGTGTACACAGATAAAGCACATGAATTTCAAAATTTTTTTACAGCCAGAAGAACATCTTTTAAGCCCATTTTCCCACAAACATTCTGAAGCACCCTCATATGATTTGAAGTCCTAAAATGCTATAGAATTAAAAATAAAATTTCTAAAGGGGACATATTACTCCGAAAAGAAGCAGAAATACTTTAAAATGAATTATAAATGCTGCCCTTCTGTAGACAATAAGAAAATGAACCAAGTGAGAGAATAGTTGAAGATGTAGATCATCTTTTGACTGAAAGGTATTAGAAAGAGTAAGAGTACCAATAAGCCATCTAATAAAATTTCTAGCAAGATATCCTTAGAATGAGAAAATTCTGGTTAGTAAGGTATAAACATGGATAAAAATTATTCCCACTACTATACAGGGGCACCCTGGAGGGGGACCTCGGTTTGGGAAGTACTAGATAGCTACCTGTTGACCTGTTGGTGTTCTGTGTTTTTAAATAAAACGTTTTCCAATATACAAGCTGGGTTTGTTTTTTCTTTTAGGTTGTAAGAAACACATTTAAGTAACTTTAGAGACAAACTTGGATTTATTTGAAGTGATCTGGATAGTTCTAGAATAAAATCACTTCATGGCCTTTGGCTAAGAGCAAGCACAGAATCGAAGGAAATGCTTAAAAAGTAAATCTGAGGAAAGTCAGAAATCAAAAGGGCTGTGGCGCTCAGGCTGCAGCTCTAACAGCCTCCTTTCTCTGAGTAGCTCACAGGAGGGACCAGCAGGCCACTACCACTCGGAGCAAGGGTTGCACTCAAGAGTCCAGTTCCAGAGCCACATCATTTGATTGGCCAAGCCTGGCTCAAGGGACTACCTCTGAAGTCAGCGTCTGTACCCACATAAACCGAGAAGCAGCTAGCTTATAAATAAGGTGATCTTCTTCACAAAGGGGGAATGGATGTTAACCATCGAAAAAATAAACACAGCACCTAAAACAACAGATGGCCCATCAACTACTGAGAATAATTATGTCTGAACTGTAATATTTTCTGATTCTGGGAAAACAGTCTGCACACTAACTTAGTTGAGACTGGAGTAGCATATACTTCATACATCACAATAGTATGTGTCTTGCTA